GGACAGACTAGGGGAGGATGCTGTAACACCCCACATGAGCCCCGCGGAGTAACTGTACTTGAGGCTGAAGAGCTGAGCTAGCCGCCCTCACTAAGGCTCTCCACATGAGGCAGGAACTCAACTCACATTGGGCCTCTGCTGTCCATGCAACCATGCAGCCACCTTGGGGAGAAAGAGGGTCTTCTACTGCCGAGTGTGAGACCAAAATGAGCCATCTTAGAAAGAAGACCAAAATGCTTTCACCCAAAAACTAAGGCCTAAGATTTCTCCTTTTGGGAATAGGCCATTAGTTACTGAAACAAGTCAGTCCAGATTCCAGAAACCAGGAAGTGTAAAAGTACAGAGTCACAAGATAGTCACGAGGTAATGACTGCCAGACTATGGAATGTCCTCTCCCTGGTTTCCAGGGTAACTGACCATAAAAATATCCCCATCTGAGGGCAGCCAATGAGAAATGGTGGCGGGCAATCACCCCCTTAGAAGTAAGATTAAGCCATGATTTCTAGAAAGCCTCTAAAAGCGAGCCAATCAGAATTGTACCTGTACTAGCACCCCTAAATGATGTAACCTTGTGACTTTTCCCTTTAAAAACTGAGCTTGCAGACAGGTGGGCGCTTCCTCCAGCCTCCACTGCATTGGATGTATTGGACGAAGTCCCTGCCTAGGCTTGTATTGCTTTTGGATATCCAGAATTAAACCTTGCTTTTGCATTCCGGCATGCTCGTCTTTGGTGGTCTCTCTGGGGGTCACGATCTGGGCACAACAGTAGTATCCCAATTAAACATGCCCCTGAGATTTTGATATTACTGGAAACCATCTGGCTTCTAATTTAGGTGGCCATTACACATTTCAAGGCCCACTAGAAGGACCCTCTGACATTTCTGGGTCAATTAACAGGTCAAACAGGCAGTTAAGCTTCTAAAACAGGCTGCCTAACTTTCCTACCCACACTCTCCCTCGTCCTCAATATACAGCTCAGGTGACTCTACAAGCTTTCGACCTGAAATCTGCAGCTACTGCCTCGGGTGGTTACAAAGCCCAGAAATGTCTATTGCTTCCTGGGTCCTCCCAAGAGGGACTCAGCAGTTTCACTGGGTCTCACAACTGGGAGGCACAGTCCTGCACCTTCTGATTGCAAAGCCTCTTCAGACACTGTGATCTGTTCCCAAATCTGTCCTGCCTGCTCTCAGTGTAGTCCTGAAGGGTAAAACATCCTTCCCACAGGATACAAGCCTCTTCAACCCTCACAGAATGAGACCTCACCAAGGACTCCTCACGTCTCCTAAAGAGGCCTAGCTGTCCATTCATCTGTCCAGAGTTGATACTGTCCCCACCCCAGCTCAAATGACCTGTTCCTGTGAGTGTCCCGAACCTCCACTCCATGTCCCCACCGCACTTCAAGACACCAATGAGTAGCGACAGCCCATGTCATTTCTTGGCTATTACCCAGCCCTTTAGTGCCCTACGCAGTGTGGCTGGGTTTCTACTCCAGGCTCAGACTTCTTCCATCCTCCCGACTCCACCTTACAGGCACCTGCCTCCTAACACCACGCAATGATCGCTTTTAACCACCGAGACTTCACAGTCCTGTAGCCTCTTTTTGTTCTGAATTCTGTTTCTCTGACTCTTGCTGGTAAGATCCACTTCTTCTGATTACATGCCAGTAAGCTCCAGATGGTATTATCTGAGTTATCGACCGTTACCCCTGACACCTGTCTCCCAATGTGGGTGGCCCCCAATAGCTTGAACACACAGCTGCCATGACAGGCTTAGGGGCCCAGACACAGCTGCTGTGACAGACTTACTGGCAGGCAATAGCCGGGTCCAGAAAAAGTCATAAGCTGACACCACCCGGGGCTGGGCCAGCATCCAAGGGGTTCCAACATTCCAACCAAAATCATGTGGCTATCTTGACATACACAGATAATTCTTAATCAACCACTTAATTCTTTTTTTTTTTTTTTTTGGTTTTTCGAGACAGGGTTTCTCTGTGTAGCTTTGCGCCTTTCCTGGAACTCACTTTGTAGGCCAGTCTGCCTGCCTCTGCCTCCCGAGTGCTGGGATTAAAGGCGTGCGCCACCACCAGTCTGACTCAACCACTTAATTCTTTTTTTTTTTTTAAGCAACTCTTTTTTTTTTTTAAAAAAAGATTATTTATTTATTATGTATACAGTGTTCTGCTTGCATGTGTCCCTTGATGCCAGAAGAGGGCACCAGATCTCATTACAGATGGTCGTGAGCCACCATGTGGTTGCTGGGAATTGAACTCAGGACCTCTGGAAGAACAGCCAGTGCTCTTAACCTCCGAGCCACCTCTCCAACCACTTAATTCTTAACCGACCACTTAATTCTTAACCGACCACTTCTCCTGAACTGGAAGGAAAGTAGAGCAAAGGGTGCATGTTAAAGGTTAACCTGTTTAAAGCAGCGGCCAGCTCTAATATCCCTGGAATATGTATATAAGCTATAGGCATACACATTTTCATATTCCTGGCTCTTCATTTCCTATCAAATATTATAAAAGTAGTGTTTAGGACAAGGAATTTTTTTAATATGCCCCCCCCCACAGTCAGACTTCTATGTAAATATTTCATACTTCCGCCTTCTTCGAAGACCCTTTCTCAGGCCCATTAGTCTCTTACCTGTCCTTAGAGGCTGAGTTCCCTCAACACCTCCCAATCCAACTGAAGGAGCTGAACTAACTCCATTTTAAAAAGAACTCCATCTTAGACAGGTCCTTGACCGAGGAGCTGAACTTGATTCCAGGAAAAACTACAAAGTTTCAAAAACAACTACATACCGCCCAAGGTTCGGGTCAGGACCACCTCACCAGAAGACTAACCAACTAACCAGAATACTTGTTAAACAACCCCACTCCTGAAAGACCCCAGCAAACTTGCTTAGCCTAACGCCATTTTAAGCAAGGCCTGAAAAGTACGGGGAAGTTCAGTTAGAGGACATGGGCATAGGAACAAACAGGGTACTAAAGGTCAGAAAAACAACTTGTAACCAAGTCAGCAGGCGTGTGGAGCTCGGGGGAAAAACCACGAGCTGTCCTGAGTTTGAACCTGGCCTCATATGAATCGTCCAATCAGAACCCTGTAAACCATGCTTCTCGCTTCTGTACCCGCCCTTCTGCTGCCCGACCCTATAAAAACCCTCCACTCCAGCCCGTGGGCGCGCCAGTCTCTTGAGCCTCTTGAGGGACTGTGTCGCCCCGGGTACCCGTGTTCCTGAATAAAGCCTCTTGCTGTTTGCATCTGACTTGTGGTCTCGGTGTGATCTCTGGGCGAGGGTCTCTCCAGAGGGAAGACTGCCTTCGGGGGTCTTTCACTCCCACCCCCTGAGCTGCAGGTGGCCTTGTCTCTGGGCTCCCAATGTCTCTGCGGTTTCTGCTAGCCATTGATAGAAATTCCCCTAGACCTGAGCCAATGAACTTAAAGGGTGCACACCCTTACCCAATTCTGAATCTGCCTGCGGTTTGTCCCTTTAAAAACCCCTTACCCGAAGACCCCCACGATGGAGTTTTGGATGTGGCCGGAACTGGAACCCTGTCTCGAAAAACCACACACACACACACACACACACACACACACACACACAAAAGGAACTTGTGATCAATAAACCCCTGTGTGTTTGCATCGGATACCGGCTCTGTGGCGGTCTTGCTTGGGGAGTCTCCCAATGTTCTGCCCAGATCACGACCCCCAGAGAGACCACCGAAGACAGAGGGTGTCCAGAATGCGCGATACAAGCCAGGCAGGGCCTCCTCCACTGGCACCCGTCGCGGCGAGGCAGGGAGGAGTTCCTCTTTCTCTGGGAAGCTAGCTTTTAGAGGAAAAACCCACAATCCCCCACAGGGCCTCCCCTTCTCCCCTAATTAGTTTTGGTTCCATTTTCCCAGGCCTATATGTTATCTTTATTTTTCGCCTGTTCAGCTGCTTTGTCAGGACTTTTACGAGCTGTCTCTGGAGTTGAGACATCCTGCCTCCGGAGTTGGGACATTTCGTGGTCAAATAGTCCCCACCAGATGGTCAAACATCCTGACTTGTATTTTCGAGTTTCTGGGGCTGATATTCACCATCTGAGAACTTAAAACTGGTCTGGGCCTGTCTATATTAAGATATCCTTGCATAAGCCTTTTTCCTCTCCGGAGAATAGAGTAGGGGGTCTTACTGAGGCCTCACACCAACACGGGCACAACCCGACCCCTAAACCCCGCTCCCTGCACCCAGTTTCCGATTTTCCATACAGTACATGCAGTTCCCCATCGCACCCCTCCAGTATTGGAAGCCCAGAGAGGAAGGCTAGTGTGTACTGTGCTAAAGCAGATACAAGGCAATTAGTTCCCTTCTCGAGTCTTCCTCCAGTGGCCCCACGGCCCGGGCAGCGCTGGAGCTGCAGAGAGCACGGAGACCACCAGGCTCGAGTTCCGGTGCGGGGATCAGGGACGCCGGGGCCACCCAGCGCCTGTCCAGCCACACCGGAAAGCGGGGGACCTGGGGTCCCTGCCGCCGCCCGTACCTGTCCACCCCCACCCCGCAGCGGGGACCCTGCAGCCGCCCGCACCTGTCCACCCCCACCCTACAGTGGGGTCCCTGCAGCCGCCCGCACCTGTCCACCCCCACCCCGCAGCGGGGACCCTGCAGCCGCCGGTACCAGTCCATTCCCCACCCCACAGCGGGGACCCTGCAGCCGGGCCTGGGAACCCTGCCGCCGCCCGCACCTATCCATTCCCCACCCCGCAGCGGGGACCCTGCAGCCGCCCGCACCTGTCCATTCCCCACCCCGCAGCGGGGACCCTACAGCCGCCCGCACCTGTCCACCCCCACCCCGCAGCGGGGACCCTGCAGCCGCCCGCACCTGTCCACCCTCACCCCGCAGCGGGGACCCTGCCGCCGCCCGCACCTGTCCACCCCCACCCCGCAGCGGGGACCCTGCAGCCGGGCCTGGGGACCCTGCAGCCGCCGGCACCAGCTCCGCGGGGACGCCGCGCTCACCATGGTCGGTCGGTCTCGGAGCGCCCGGTGACTCTCCTGGGTCTCCGGTGCCCGCGCAGGCTCAGCCAACCGACGTCTCGAATGACAGAGCGGAAAATGGCGAACTCGTGCAACTCACCCTCGCGAAACTTTATAAGCCCGCCCCCCTCCTCTGTCATAGGGCCTGAGTGACAGCCAATGGCACCAACCCATTACGGAATGCGGGGCTTCCTGGGGCTAGGGGGCGGAGTTCAGCCCAGACTGGCGATTTTCTTGCATCAGTGGGTTTAAGGCTAAACGTGTAATTATGTGGAAGTTCTTCACTGGCAGAAATAATGGTATTGTTGTGCCCAAGATCGCGTTTAATCTTACTTCTAAGGGTGTGTGTGTGTGTGTGTGTGTGTGTGTGTGTGTGTGTGTGTGTGTGTGTGTGTGTGTGTGTGTCTGTCACCGTTTCTCATGGGCTGCCACACGTGGGGACATTTGGTGATTAAACTGAAAGACCCCCGAAGGCAGTCTTCCCTCTGGAGAGACCCTCGCCCAGAGATCACGCCGAGACCACGAGTCAGATGCAAACAGCAAGAGGCTTTATTCAGGAACACAGGTACCCGGGGCAACGCAGTCCCTCAAGAAGCTCAAGAGACTGGCGCGCCCACGGGCTGGAGCAGAGGGTTTTTATAGGGTCGGGCAGCAGGAGCACGAGGAGGGCGGGTTCAAACTCAGGGCAGCTCATGGTTTACAGGGTTCTGATTGGACGATTCAAATGAGGCCGGGTTCAAACTCAGGGCAGCTCGTGGTTTTCCCCCGAGCTTGACATGCCTGCTGTCTGGCTCCAAGTTGTTTTTCTGACCTTTAGTACCCTTTTCTGGGGCCAGGAGGCCGGCCGTAGACACCCGGCGCTTTTCAGACCTTACTTGAAATGGCGTTAGGCTAAGCTAGTATGCTGGGGTCTTTCAAAACAATCACCATGGAGACTAGGGTTGGGACACTGTGGTTAAACAGTTACCCTGGGAATCAGGGTTGGGACATTCTGTGGTCCAGCAGTCATCACCACATGAATACCTTGAGACTCTGTACTTTGAGCTGCAATCTGGTTTGACTGGTTCCAGTAACTCAAGGTCTGCACCTAAAATGGAGAAAGCTTAGGCCTTATTTTTATGATGAAGGCATTTTGGTCCCACATTTCCCCCTTCTCGTGGTCCTAAGGAGGCCCAATCTTGGGCCTCAAGTAGCTCCGAAGACTCTTCTTGCCTGGTGGTGGTGACGTGTGCTTGTAATCCCAGCTCTCGGGAAGCAGAGGCAGGCGGGTCTCCATGAGTTCGAGCCTGGTCTGCAGAGTGAGTTCCAGGACAGCCACGGCGGATACATAGAGAAACCCTGTCTCGAGAAACTAAAAAAAAAAAAAAAGACTCTTCTTCATGTGCGGTGGGGGGTTCCCAATGCTGACAGGTACATAGCCACGCTGTACCGTCAATTGCATGGTCCCCAACCTGTCTCATAAACTGTACCAGCTTAAGATACAAGGCCCGAATGTCAATAGTAATACTAAAATAATGAGGGGCCCGAGGAGACTGGAAATCAAGGTAGTGAACCAGGGGGATTTAGAATACCAAGCCTCAAACCATCCATGGTTGGCTTCTCGTTCTCTTTTTCGCTGGGCCATGCCCTCTCGGACCTTGGCTACTGAGTCTTTTACTATTCCCGAGTAGCCTGTATAGAAACAACATTCTTCACCCAATGCAGCACACGATCCTTTTTCTTTTAGGAATATTAGGTCCAAGCCTCTTCTATTCTGTAAGACAACTTCTGCGAGGGAGGTCAGGGACTCTTGGAGGTGGGTAATCTGGAACTCTAGCTTTTCTACGTCCTCATCTATAAACTCATGCAGGCTTGGGTAGCGTTGTTGTTGGATGACCAAAGTGGCAGCTCCTGTCCCCAGCCGGGCTAGACTGGCCCCCAACAGTATGCTTAAAGTGAGGGCAGTTACTGGCTCCCTTTTTGACCTATGGAGGCTGACTGGTCCAACAAGGCCTTCTAGCTCCTCCTCAGAATGGTATGTCAACCGTGGCAGAAGCCGGACCACTATACAGAAGCCCTGAGTTCTATTGGGGACTTGGACATGTGCGCAGGGTGTCAGTCCCGTAGAGCATGCCCACCAAGTGTTATCAGGAGGCCGTAGGTAGAGGTCTGGTCAGGGAGGGGTTAGGGTTTTGACAGTGAACCTGGTACTTAGCTGGAACCGTTCCTATGCAAAAGCCTTGGTCCTGTACCTGCTGGATAGTGAGTGAGGCCTTAGCTTGCCATCGGCATTCCTGGGGCTTGCTAGTCATTGTATAATTGCCCTCCACCGCAGTCCCCTCCTAAAAAGGGGGTTGTGCATCATAACAGAGCCAACACGAAACAGTTAAGTCATGTTTGGACGCGTTCAGGAGCAAGCAGGACTTTTGAAGGAGGGGGTACAGGGGACTCCTGTCCAAGGGTTCTCCCGGCAGGTAAGCGGGCTGTTCTATGGGTCCGCCAGAGCGGGGCTGTACAGGCGCAACGGTTGGACGTTTGTGTTGGACGTTTGGTGGAAGCCGGGGCAGGTCTAGTAGGACCCGGCGCTATCTGGGAGTTAAACACACGGTTGGGCCCCATCCCTGCCGTGACCGGTGTGAGGGTGCGCTTTATAGTAAAAGCGAGCCAACCCATTGTTCCGGGATACAACTGCAGTGTCCATGTTCTCCCAGTGTTCCAATCTGCCCTCTTACTGGCCTCTGTGAATTGGATAATTAGGGGGTTGCAGCACCCGCCAGGTCTGGCTCCAGCGTAAGTGGGATGGTGTTTTATGTCATAACAGTTTCCAAAGGCTGATTCCCTAAAAACCCAACCCCCAGGCTGGTTGTATCTCCTACCTGCTGTACCGTGATCAAGTCCCCCTTTGTTGGAGGAGTCCAGGATATCCATCCAGTGAATTCACATCCCCAGCTAGCACAGTAGACGTCGCCCTCCTGCACATGTTGTTGTGCCCAGATTGTGACCCCCAGAGAGACCACCAAGGACGAGCATGCCAGAATGCAAAAGCAAGGTTTATCTGTTACAAGTTGCCGACAGGGAACTCATCTCAAGCATTCACTGGCCTCAGTGCAGTGAGGCAGGGAGGAGTTACTCTTTCTTGGGGAAGTTAGTTTTTATAGGCAAAACCCATAAAATTTCTTAGAGGGGAGGGGGTTAGTACGGGTCCATCCTCAATTGGTCCAGTTTTTCCCGGGCCTGGACTTTATCTTATTTTACCTTATCTGTTTGTCCTGTCAGGAGTTTTACAACTCATCTCTGGGGTCTGGTCATGTTATCCTAGAGAGGGGCATCTCGTGGTTAATCGGTTACCATCAGACATCCTGGCTTTGTTCTTTTAAAAACACCTGACTTCACCCTCTCCAGGAAGGGGGAACTGGCTCATTTTTAAGATATCTCTTTCCTCAGCTCTTTTGGGTTTCTGGGGGAACTGTGTCTGAGTTTTTTTTTATCTCCAGTGCTGAGATTAAAGGCGTGTGTCACCATATTCCCATCCCATTTGGTTTTGAAACAGGATCTCTATAGCCCAAACTGGCCTGTGTTATGCCCAGATAGAGTCCCCAAAGAAGCCACTGGAGACTTTAGGTACAGAATGCAAAAGCAAGGTGTATTCTAAGTTTACAAGCCTCAGCAGGGAGGCTCATTCCAAAGCTCTCACACGCAGCAGGGAGGTTGGAAGGAGCCTCCCCTTTCTTTGTGAGGCTAGTTCTTAAAGGCACAGACCATATAATTCATTTTCCACAACCCACCTCCCTTTTTTAGTCTTTTGGTCGAATATCCTGACTGTGTTTTTTTTTAAGTCCCTGTAGCAGATACAGCCACCTGGGAAAAGGGGTCTAAGTTCTTATCTACACTTAGGAATCCTGGTTTAAGCTTCTCTTTGTCTGTAGGGAATAGAGGAGGTGGGTTACTGAGGTTTCACAATGTGGCTCAGTTTTCTGGTCATGGAGTGGCCAGGGCAGACATAAAATTCCAGGGTTCTTGCTTTGGCTTCCCCTCCGGGCACCCCACATCCTCGGCTGGTTAGGAATACCTGGCCATTTGGGAGTCTCTCTTCCATATCTGAGGGGGGTCCCCAGTCTGGTCCCCCCAGATCACAAAGATCTACATATAGATTAGGGAACCAGGTATCCTGAGGGGCCACAGACAAAGTTTTGCCTGTCTCAGTGATGATGAGCCAGGCTTGGTTCCAAGGGGTGTGAGGATTGTCAGGTGGGCTGATCCCCGCGGTGGTACTGGGCAGAGTAGAAAAATCAGGTAAAAGCTGATCATTTCTCCTGACAGTAGCTTGAGCTTCAGCAGGTTGGAGAGACGTTGTGCAGCCTCCCAAGTCTCACCTTGGTACTCCTCAGGGAGCACGAAGGGGTCAGCCAATCGCGCGATTGAGTAGTGAACCCAAGCTGTGATTCCATCCACTTTTAGGGCTGTTGGGATGATCAGAATAGCCATGTAAGGTCCTTTCCACCTGGGCTCCAGGGACTTGGTGCCTCTGAACAAGGGCCCAGTCTCCCGGTTTGAACCTGTGGGAAGTAGGGGAAAAGCTGCCTGGTAAATAGCCTGGAGCTTGGGCCTGGCAGAGCCCCTGGAGTGCATCCAAGAGGTCCTGGTCCTCCAACTGTGCCACTAAATCAGTGTGAAGCCTAGGTATAATGGAAGGGGAATATCCATACAAGATTTCGAAGGGTGTTAATCCCATTTGGTAAGGGGAATTCCAAACCTGGAAAAGGGCAAAGGGGAAGAGGGTCACCCAGCCTCAGCCAGTCTCCAAGGACAATCTAGTTAAAGTCTCTTTTAGGGTCCAGTTCATCCTTTCCACTTATCCTGAGCTCTGGGGTCTATATGCATAATGTCCACTCTGTTCCCACTGCGGTGGCTATTCCCTGACTTACCTGGGAAATGAAGGCTGGACCATTACCTGATCCTATCATAACTGGAAAGCCAAACCTGGGCAGGATTTCTTCCAGTATCTTCTTAGACACCACGTTTGCAGTTTTGTGTTTAGTGGGGTACGCTTCAGTCCATCCTGAAAAATGTCTATGAAGACTAACAGATATTTATAGCCAAACTCTCCTGTTTTGA